CCCCCCCCCCCCCCCCCGCCCCCGCTGACTCTCTTTGAGGCCGCTGCTTCGTGGTGAACTTCCGGCGGCTCATGGAGTGTGGGGCCCGGCAAACCGGGGGAAAGAGCCTGAGAGAGGACCCCTAGTCGCACCTTGTTTTCAAAGTAGCCTTCCTGCGGTAGCTTTCACAAAACCCAATGCAATGCAGGGAAGGCAAAGGGGGCAAGTAATGTCGTCCTGGGCGAGTAACTACAGTGTTGCATGGCATCGTCTCGTGCTTTGTCGTGCCGCAAAAACTATCCCATGCATGGGGGCTATGCTGATATATTGACGACTGCAAGCCCCAAGCGGTTTGCCATAGGGGCGCGGACAGGAGGCCGAGATGGGGGGGGCGGTTCTAGTGTACAGGGAGGGGTCTTGCAGCAACCACACATGGAGCACACCGCGTTTCCGGTGCAGCAGTCATTGGGGCCCCAATGCCAGCCACTCGATAATTACGTTGTGCGGGCCGATGGCTTGAGGGTCGCGCAGACGACCCCGAAGCCCATCAGAGAGAAAGAAAATCTGAGAGAGAGAAGTGCACGGGGAGAGCGGTGCTCCCGAGGCTGCAGAAGGTCTTTGCCATCATCCATGAGCTTATTAAATCCACGGCCATCGCGGCTGGGGTGCTCAGGTTTTTGCGCGGCTACGAAGCGACTCGTTTACCTTTCCTGAGGCCTTGACTTTGGTTCTTGCTGGAAATGTTTGGCAGCTCGGCTACTCTGCCGGGCTCCCGGAAGGTGTTGCAGTAAGCTGCAGAGAAGTTTCTCGCAGTCTTTTCCCTTTGGAGGTCCTCTTCGTGGCCATCCTTTTCGTAATGTATGGTTTCCATGCTGCTCACTACGACACTATGGACATCAGACGCTGCCTGAGTGGACAAGCTGGGAGAAGTCCAGATTCGATTTGTCTTCCCCCGAATCCCCAGGCGACTACCACCATCTGGTGGACCTGTTCGAGGACGACCATGGTGTTTGCGGTGGCAGGCCGGACAAACGTAGAATCTGAGCCCCATCGGCTTGTCCTTGCGGCATCGAAGAAAGGAGCATCGACAATCCCAACAGGCTACTGAAGGCCCGTGGGAGCTGGGCCGATAGTCGGCTGTTTATTGAGAGGATGCTTCGCAGCAACTCGAAAGACCAGGACTGTTTTCACAGTGATGAGGAGAATAAGCATCACTGGACGCGCTGCGTAACAGGCTGTTATAGATCTCAAAGTCGTTGCCCTCAGGCTGCCATGCTTACAGGCAATCCTGGGTGTGTTGTCTTCTCAGTAGTATCATCCCACGAAGTACACACATCCCTCTGACAATATTGTTACTACGATTCCGATTACCTCTCGTAGGTTGTGCCGGCTCAGAGCCCTGAGAAGTCTCCTCAACGACAGGCCCTAACCCTCGCGCGAACAGGCCGACGCAGGAGGCATCGGAGCACCGAGAATTCAGAATAGTCATTCTATAGAGCCTGGGTTCAGTCTCGGTATGCACTTCCGTAAGAGGTCTGTCATGACTTCTAGGGTTGAGGGTGATTTTGTCGAAGGGCCGTGCTGATCATCTTGCTCTTTGGGCTGCTATGTTCCGGAATGTGGTTCGCGTCCCAGCTGCTTTCTGATGCGTGTTTGTGATCTGCCTCTCAATTAATGTCTGGGGTACGGGAGCGGGAGCCCGTTTTGCCAGTGCTCGGATTCCACAAGGTCTATGGTGGCGTATTCATGGACAATGGAGCTCACCGAAGGGCCGGGGCCTATGCACATCGCTCGGTGATTGTATCTTTTGATGGCCGAAATCGACATAGCATTGGTGCAGTCAGGGTCTGGTCAATCGGAGATGAGTTCTATGCCACATTGCTCCTGGTCAGCTACCTGGTTTTCCGAATTGCGCGGATACTGAACGCATTGAACGGGTAACACTAGAAGCGAGAGGCGAACGCTTTCTTGCGAACATCTGTACAGGTTGGCACACTGATGCTGCTCTTTCATACGGTTTTTGAATGGCTGTATTGGCGAGAGACGCTGGTTCCTGAGCTGGTCAGACGGGGCTGCTCCTGTGACGAAGTCGTGCACTGTGCCGGCAGCTGATGCTTGGTTTTCTTTCTTGAGGCAGTGTGTCATGCCCTGGTGGAATCGGCAGCTGAAGGAGCAGCAACCCCAGTTGCGGGGTCGGGATCCTGCTTTTCAGCTCCCTTGTGGCCCTGAGGCCGTGGGATCCAGCTCGTCATGGCATTCCGTGTGCAGCTCGGAAGCCCGAGCAGAGAGAGGGGTGCAGAAGACGGCTTCTACAGGCGCAGGTTCCGATGGCACGCGGCTAAGCTTGTGTTTGCGTTGTGTGAGGAAGTAAAAAAAACTTGAGGGGTCCTTCCTCGTGAGGTTTGGACTGCCCAGCATGTGGTTTACCTGTGGCAACGCGTATTCCGACCTGTCCTTGTGGCCATGTGCCAAGTAGCACGAGGAGGCTCCTTCAATTTTTGCGCAGAGCCGTTGGCTTTGAGGATTCAGCACGCAAAGGGACAGTGGCGCGGTAAGAAGGCGCTGTGGGGAGAAGCCTTGCTTTCTCTGGGATGGCCGTCTCTTCAAGCATGGCTAAGCACAGGTCAACAAAGTCTTCCCTGAGGAGATGGCACTTTTTTCCTTGCATGCCGCGTTCCCCAGTACAAGAGTGTGAAGTCTTGAGCCCGAAATGTCACGCTCTTTTTTGCTGTCTTCTTTGCAAGGCGAGTGGTGCATGCCAGCTTCGACGAACGCTGCAGCACGCGAAACTCTACAGTGTACCTCCGGCCAGAAGGTTTTGGTGTCTGTGTCTTGATGCTACAACGTACCAGGTACAGCGATGCTCCTTCCTGACCCGTGAGGGGGCAGGGAGCTCAGGGAACTCGGACCTCGAGGTTCTTGGCCTCACCCCTTTGGTTCTGAGGATGCAAACGCACTTCCCAAAGGCAGTGACCCCGAGGCTATGACATGGACTTCCACTCAGAGCTTTTGTCTTGGACTACAAAATCGGAGCTGCAAAGGAGCTGCAAATTAATTTCGTCTTCTTCGACACGCAAAGCAAAGAGTACATGCAGCCAGAGGAGGACGGAGAACCTCCCAAGAGCTTGAATTCTAGAATTTTTCAAGATACTCGATGAGGAGCAAAAGGAGACTCAAATCCACGTATTGAGCTGGGCTCTCAGCCTGACATGAAGGTGCCGTGCTCATGGGACTGCAATGCTCCGTCTCAGATCGGCCCATACGCTCGGGCACGAAGGGTGCCGACCGACGTCACAGCCCCGGCAAGGGCAGAGGAAAGCGTGGCTTTTGGTTTTGACGCCGCGTGGATGCATGTTTTCCTTGGCAGTTGACTTGGGGTCGACTCTCCTCGAGCATGCTCCGCAGATTGAGAAGAGGTCGAGCATCTAACGATGCGGCGGCAAACCTGCTTACCGAATTCAGCCGCCCCATGCCAGTGCACGCCACAAGGTGCAGCACAGTGTGGGGCTTTGCATTGCTGCCTGCATTAGGGTGCCGCAATGCGCCGCACCACTGCGCCACAACCAAAGTGTGTTGCCTGGCAGCAAAATCGCGTGGCACCGATCAGAGTGTAGTCGCAACTTGTGAAGCATCATGGCGCACCGCTTTTCTCAAGCATGTGGGTTCGTGCCAAAGGACAAATCCAAGCTGCAGCCCATACCGACTTCGATCTGAGCGCAAATGACCGTAAACCGGTTCACTCAGTCATTGGGCAACTGTGGGACCTAAGCGTCAGTCTTCCCAACTCTGCACATGCGTTCTCATGGGCATCGGATCTGCGCAAGGCCAGGGTTTTGCCTGTTTCTTCGGAGAGCTCGAGTCGTTTCGGTTTCGGTCTTCAGCCAACATGTTTCTGTTCTCCCCCTTCCCAGGCAGGACAATGGCCTGGTCCGGCCCTTCCGGAAGCTGTAATGCGAGACCACGCTGTGCTGCGATGCAACGAGGCAGTCGCTCTGCGAAGTGCCCCTTTCCGCCTCGGAGTGCAGTGGTCGGAGCCGCGGGAGAAGAGAGCTCTTTCGGAACATTCCGAGCGCTGCCGCGCGCGTCCGAAAAGGTCAGCAGCATGCGAGAAGTAGTGGCTGCCTCGGAATTCCTCACACCTGCTGCGACTGTCGGAGAAAGCGGAGCCAAGGTTGCTGGTGCAGAGGACGGTCCCTTTGATAGACACACCGTTTTCTGCAACTTGCTCCCGGCTTGGCCAGGATGCGAAGCTTGGTCTTATTCCCCAGTTTGCCGGAGGAGAGGTCCTGGTGAAGGCGGGGTGGTTTAGGAATGCAGCAGAGCATCGACACGATGCCGAGGATGTCAGCAAGGGCGGGTGGGCCGAGACTGCGGGCATCCGAGCCGGAGCAAGGAGAGGAGGGGAATCTGCGGCACTTTCCAACAGCCCGAACCACCGAAGGATCCTTCAACTCAATGGGGTCGCTGTCCCGGGCATGGCAGACGCGGACTTCAAGGTGCCGTCCCAAAGCCGCCGGGCCGAAGCCCCCAATGCCAAGCCATCCCTTCCGCCGTAGGCAGCCCTGAAGCAGCGCCCGCTGCAGATCCGCTACGAGCAAAAAGTGTCCCAACCTGAGCCGAGAGCCTTTTGTGTGGTGCATTTGGATTTTAGACTCTGCGAATGCTGGAGCCAGCTGAAGCTAAGGCTAGAGGTGGTTCTCGAGGATCCGGCAGAGAAGTTAGGTGCGTCAGGGCGGGCTTCGAGATCCCAGACGCATTTTCGTTGCACGTTCGGTGTGCAAAGGCTGCAGTTTTTCCGGGGCCCCTCCTGCCAATGCGGTGGCCGGGATCCGAGACATGGGCTGTAGCTCGCTTCACTTTCTGTGTCTCGCAAGGTGGCCAAAGTTTCACCGGGCTCATTTGCAGAGAGGACTTGTCGCATGTTGCTAAATAAAGGAAGTCAATTCAATGGACATTTTGACGTCAGTACGTGGTCCATGCAACAGGAGTCTGATACAAGTTGGCTACGAGCTTGTGGCCGTGAACGGAGATGCCTTGAAAGAATTGACCGATGCCACGTTCAGGCCGATGGGCCAAGAAGGGGCTCTTGGCCTGACAACGAGGGAGTGCTTTGAGTTCTTTCGCTCTTTGCAGGGACCGCCTGAAGGCGAGACCTGTCCGTCAGGATCCTGGCTGAAGTTGTGGTGAGGAGAGTCAGCCTGGATCCGTGCTAAGGGCTCCGGTACCAAGTTCCTGAGGACGTAGCGGCGTAGCGACGCTTTGACAGTGCTGGTCGAATCCACGGATTCCTGATTCTTGCAGGATGCAGCTGCAGCGCAACAGGTCCAGGCACAAGCAAACGCGGCCACCACCATTCAGGCTCATGCGCGTGCCTCTCCCAGGTCCCAGTTCTTGGAGGGGACATTCCCCCCAGTTTTTTTTAGAGTACCCCGCCCAGGGGGCCACCAGGCGAGAAAGAGCACAGCGGCGAAGGCCGAAGCGGGGAAGTCTCTCGGCTGCTCGCGGGGCGATGCCTTTGTCATCGCCTCAGGCTGGCAACAAGTGTGGCGCCCAGTACCAGAATCACTAGAAGTCACTAGAAGCCAGGAATCTCAAACCTGGGAGTTCCGAAAAGGCTCGAAATCGTGCTGGAGGACGCCGAGGTCAAACTTGGACAGCCGCTGAGTCAATTTCTCTTGCTATGGAACGGGACTGACCCACATCCTTCTTAGGTTGCGGTTTCGCTGGGATGCCTCCGGAATCTGTGATGGTGCACTGCCTTAGACTGTTTTGTTATCCATGTTTGTGCGCAATGTGCGTCATGTTGTGATGGCATGCAGTGTATATCGACGGCTCCTAGGGTGTGACCGCTTCTGTTCCAGTTTTGAGTCGGGTGGGCCCGCATGAGAATCCCATGTCATGAAAGCTTCTCGTTCATTACTCCAGCCGTGGTGAGGCTGAAAGTCTGGCCAGGGGGCATCTGGGCCTAGTGATTTGAGGCAGTGTTTTATTCTGGGAGTCCGACCCCGGCTGGAGCCGGTTGTCGGGAAACACGGGGGCCTGCTGCTGACAGACTCGGCATGCTGTGAGCGACAAGGAACCCCCCCCCACACCGCTATTGTTTCAATCCGGCCTCCAACTCGAAGGGAAGAGTCTGCATGTCTGCAAGCTCATTCTCTTTGAGATGATGTTTTGCAGTTTTTGCAGTGCCTCCCTTTGTTTGTTTGCGGGGTAAGGCTTTTGTTGGCCGTGGGCTTGCCCTGCAACTTGCAAGGTGGGGAAGGTATCACCTGGAAGCTTTGCTGAGAGGAGTACAGCTTCTTCAGCCGTCCATCTGTAGCGGCATGAACACGCAGGAGCAACATCCAGACCGGACAGCTTCTGGTGGCCTTAAATGGCATGCAGATGAAAGAACTCAATGCCGAGACCTTCAAGCTGCTTGGCTCCTTTTGAAGCTCTGAGAGAATCACCCAATCCCTTCTTTTTGAGACTTTTTTGGAGGCAAGCTCTGAAAGGTCGGCCGGTCCGCCCCGGCCTTACGGGAGCGCCTTCTTTCTGCGCGACGCTTCTGCTATTTTAAAAGAGCTCTCGTGACATGAGCTGAGGACTCAGCTTCGAGATTCCCCTTGCGGAGGACACTTCATGGATGCAAGAAAAGGACACTCCTTTCTGCGCATCTCAACAGGAGAGGGCTCAGGTCATCGACAAAGTCGAGACGCAGGAGAGCGCAGCTACAGCCATCCAAGCCCTGGCTCGCAGGGCTCTCGGCTCTCGCTCTCGTCACGTCCGGCATCTCTGCAATGAAAGCCCAGCGAGGTGGTCATGCGGCTCGAAAAGACACTGGACTGGAGGCGTGCTGAGGGGGGAATGCCGCGACAAAGAACAGCAGCTCGAGGTGCTACCGACGTCCAGTGAACAAGCGAAGCCGAACTTCCAAAAGCCTCCACCCTAAGGCCGTAAGTGCTAGGCTGCTAGGCTTTGAGTCCCAGACCCACGCCTTCTCCACACGCCGGAAGCCCTCGGTCTCAAGCTTTTTCTACAGACCCCGCCCTCAAGCACCAAGCAAAGAGTGGGAGTGATAGGAGTCTTGGATGATACTCCCTGGGTCAGGAATTAGGACCTATGCGAAGTGCAGCAGGTTGCAAAGTTGCTTCTGTCCGGCATTCTGGTTGTATGTTGGGTAATACCTGGTGATGTTTGCACCATCGTTTTCTTCCAGGAAAATCAACAGAAAATCAATTCGGATTTCGATGGCTTACATCTTATGTGATCTTTGCTCGCCTGCAAATTCCGCGCGGCGATAAGTTTCATCTTTCCAGTCCTGTGACCCTGTGCTCCATGGCGACAGGCAGCATCAGGAAGTGCTCGCAGGCACGGTGCCGAAATGCGTGCGAGATGATGCTATATGATGCTGAGCTTGTGCCTTCTAAGCTTCGCAGAGACCTGCACCAGGTTCGAGGTCACGCTGTCAGATGCTGAAACCAAACTGGGCTGCTGGCTTGGGATGTTGACCCACCCTGGCAGAGAGGCGAGGCATCTGTGGCGTCTGCACTTAGGTTGTGGCTTTGCAGGACTTCCTCCCGAACCTGTCATCGTCACTCGGCATGAGGACTTAC